TAGAGGTTAAAAAACCAAGAACATATTAACTTTGTTAATTTCTTGAGTTTTGACACACTGTTGAGTTTCCAGGGCTGCTATAACAAAGTACCACAAGCTTGGTAATTTTCAAACAGTACAAATGTATTTTCTCACAGCTCAGAAAGCTAAAATTCCTAAAATAAGGTGCCAGAGATCTCTGTTCCCTCTAAAGGTTCCCTGGAAGAACCCTTTCTTGCCTCTTCAAGTGACAGTTGCCAACCATCATTTACATTCCTATAAATTATGGTTTTATCATTCAAATCTCTACTTTTATCTTAGCATGACTTTCCTTGTGTGTCCAGATCTGTCTCTGAATCTCTGTCCTTATGATAATACCAGTCATGGGGTATAGGACCTCACTTGATCTTACGTAACCACATCCTAACTTGACTATATCCACAAAGGCCCCATTTGCAAATAAGGTCTTATTTTTAGTAGCTAAGGTAGGACAACCTGAATTTGAGTAAAGAAATTTTTGAAGAATTGAGTAAAGAAAATTTGAAGAATAAATATAACATTGATTTAAAAAAAATGTTTAATGTGCACAGATCATAGCTGTTTTGAGTCTTTAGTCTTAAAACTGTAATTGCTATTATTCAAAAATTTAGAAATCCAAATATTTAAATATCTTGGTAACTACATATGAAATATTCATTCATTACTTCCAGGTATATCTACTCAGTTCATATTTTGCCTTGACAATCTTACTAAACATGGCTATATAGAGAAATTAGTATAAGTAGACAAAACCTTTAAGTTAGAGAAGCAAAGTTTCTGCCTATATTATTGTGGATTCTGTAACATGGACATAGTACTATCTGACCTAGATATCATGTAATCACATACTCTGAATGGTTTTTTTTTTTCCCCTGCCTTCATAATCGGCTGCACTAATTACTCCATCTTACATCTACAGATATCTACATTAAAACAAAGGTATAAAGAACAGAAAAGTAAATCGCTAGGATACTGAGGGCAGTCAATAAATGTTCTACTCATGGTGTTTTGTTCTCTGTATTTCAGAAGAACATTACTGTGAGCAGTTCATTTTACTTACTAATTGATTAAAGAAGATAGCAAAGTGATAGCTTATCATTCTACTGACTGATAAATTTGATACCTAATAACATTTATTCTGAAATAGTAAAAATTTGACTATGAATTTTATTCAAGTGGAATTTTACCTATATTTTAAGTTCCCATTTTCAACAAATCTAAAAGGGAAAAAATGCTGCTGAGATGTATCTTATTATCTAGAAACATACGAGTGGGGCTGGAGAGGTAGTTTCGGGGGTTAAGTGCTTCCTGCTCTTCTAAAGGAATGGATACAGTTCCCAGCACCCACCACTCAGCTCACAACTGCCTACTAACTCCACCTTCAGGAGATCCAGTGCCCT